GCATAGATTGGTTGTTTTTACAACACATTTAGTTGGTTAAAACTATTTGCTTTGGATGAAACAATGTAATGATCAAAATCTGAGCAAGTCAGTGGTTACAGTTGTAACATTTGTGCTAAGTAGTATAGCTTTGTAGTGAGCAGTTACCATTGCTAGAGGCCTGAGCTCTATGACATTGACTTCCACTCTTGAGGTTGTTGGTTTGAGACCCACTTTTGAAAGTTGTGAAAATCATTACCAAGTATTTTGGCAAATGTGACTAATTTTCCCTAGTACAAATATAGATTGGGTAAAAACACTGACAAATTAGATATGTTGGTTTAACCAAAAGATTGGTTGAACACATAACTTCCAACCCAATTAAAACCCCAGACTGTGGAAAAACTATTATTTTTCAATAAAAAAAGTAATGCCTTTCATTTTGCTCATCATTGCCCAATTTGCACGAGCAATTTCACTGTCTGCTTGAGCTTATTTCATTAAAAAGTCAGAAAACAGTTTAGCCTAAATGATTGTTCATTTCTAAGACATTTTACACACAAAAAACTTACAAAAAGTTTTATTATATATACCAATTAGTAACAATTTCAAAGGAACTTAAAATTGGATTAAACAGGAAAATCAATTGCAAAAAATCACAGATTATATTACAAACTTCAGTTCTGCACATTATCAGTAGGTGGTGACATGTTCACATGAAGCTTCATGAACTGTGGGGATCGATGCATTTTGCCAAAAAGGTTCAGTATGAGAACATCTGACCAATTAATAAACTAAACATCAGTGAATAGAAGCCGAGTATTTCATTCAGCTTGCTTATATCAGGGATTATAGATGCAGGCTGATATATTCTGATATTTATTTCACTGATTTCAGACTATTTTAATACATCAGTATGGGATCGTATAATCTTTCAATTTTACCTCCATGAGACAAGTTCCTCTCAAAGTCTTGCCTTCAGAGCTACTTAAGTGAAGAAATGTTTGTAGGGAGGAGTTTCCGTGAGCAAAGGAGAATCAGAAGCACAGATGGAAGAAAAAGAGCTGATTTGCTGATCCACCACCAAAAAATGACAAGAAATTAGAACATAAACTTCTATAACAATCATGCAATTGTTGATATGGAGATAAGTTGAAGTCTATCATCTGTAGCTTGTCTATCATCTGCATGAAGTTTATTTATTGTTTAGTTTATTTATTTAAATATGCTTTACAACAACACTAGGAAGTGCCTCACAAAAAATTAAAAACATTGTAAAAGCCAGTTTGAAAAAAATTAGTCTATTTAATCTGGACTTAAAAAGGGGCGGATCTGTGAGAACACGCAGACCGAGGAGCAGGCTACTAGGCTACTTCCACACTGTTAATACCGGCACCTTGCTATATCCAGAACCATTTGATTGGCAAACCGGAGAACTCAACTTAACTGAGTCAACATCTCAGTTAATTATAACCATGAAGGCCTTAAAAACAAGTATTAAAATATTAAAATCAATCCGAAAATGGGAGCCAGTGCAACAGAGAACCCTGTGTGACCAGTCCCGAACCTGTTTGTCTGTTTCACTCATAAAACTTGTGTTTATCTTTAATAAACAGTTTAACTTTTCATCTGCCTCCGTTGTGTTCTGCATTTGGGTTAGATCCCCGAACCCAATCATGACACCCCCAGGCGTTTTCCTGCCTGCTTTAAGCGCATCCATTCTGTCACAGTGGTGTCTTTATCAAGCTGCAAGGCGGTCTCATATTTCTGGAGAATGCTGCCAACTGTTGTGTTTCCAAAACTGTTCTTTTGTTGATTTTTGGACATCTTCGAAAGTATTTCAAAACAGGTGTTGATAAGCTGACGGTCAAGCAGTACGCAAATGCACGTAGTAATATAATTGACGTTACGCTTTCATGATTTGTGACACGCATGCGTACCTGCTTACCAGTTATGTGCACCCCTGCCTATAATCCCATATTGAGTTGTGAGCATTAGTCACCGTATCACCCTTTCATTTAAATGTAATACTATCTCACCCAATGAATTTACAGATAATTACTTGCAGTGATTATAAAATGCATCATGTTAAACTTACTTTGTCCATAATCCAACAGTGTTTTGCAGACCAGAGAACTCAACTTAACTGAGTCAACATCTCAGTTAATTATAACCATGAAGTGCTTAAAAACAAGTATTAAAATATTAAAATCAATCCGAAAACGGGAGCCAGTGCAAGGAGGAGAGAACGGGAGTGATGTGGCTGTGTCTGGATGAACCAGAGAGGAGATGAGCTGCTGCATTCTGTACTAACTGTAAGCGTTGTAGTGATGACTGTGGGAGGCCGAGTAGAGAGCGTTGCAATAGTCCAGCCGAGAACTTATAAATGTGTGAGTCGTCTTCTCTGGGTCTTGGCGTGAGAGAAAGGGTTTCACCTGGGTCAAAAGGCGCAGCTAGCTTTGACAAGAGCATTTATTTGTTTTTTGAAGTTCAGTTCACGGTCAAAGACAACTCCCAGGTTCCTGACGGCATTGCTGACTGAACCCCAACCCTGGACTGAATCTGAGGGACATCCTTGGAACCAAATATAATGAAATCTGACTTACTTGGGTGAAAGGGAAATATTGTGGTTTCAGCAGCCAGAGATGTGGCTTTAATAAAAAAGTAGTTTTATTGAGAATACAAATATAAGATAACATTAAATACCTAGATCTAAGAGTGGGAAATTATACTAGCTGTAGAGTACAGAGTAATTTTAATATCATTCACAAACTGTGAAATCCTCACAATAATAAAGAGCTAAAAAGAACCTAAAAGTTGCAGAAAAATGTGACCAAAAATACACACTCAGATATGAAAAAATATAATAATATAAACTCCAGCTGAATAGAAAAAATCTTTATCTTTACAGTTGTCATTGTCAAAAAGAACAACGAAAAAAAAAAAAAAAAAGTGTCATCGATCGATCAGTGCATATGCTTAAAAACAAAAACTAAAAATCACTGTCACCACCATTTACACATAATATAAGAAATAAATAACAATAGCTGATAAAAACACTAATAAGAATAGTACATTCTCACACACATCATCCATGATGATTAATGGTTATTTAAAAAAATATGTGAATGAGGGAAAAAAATATGTTCTCTATTGTTTATGTTATTATTTACAGCCTAAATGTACATCTCCAAAATTCTCTTCTTCTTCTGTGGTGCTCTCTTTTCTCTGGCTTTGATTGCGGCGTGTGATCATAAGACCAATTTAGTTCTCAGCTCTCCTTTACTCTCCTTCCAGAGCTGTGTGAACTGCAGTACTGCTCCTCTGTCTTATCCATTGAAACCTACTAACAGTCACCTAATCTTAATCCCTGTGAAGGTAAAACTATTTGGTGGGGATTTTGGGCTAAATTAGGAGCTCTGAGAGACTGTGGATCACAGGGATTACAGTCTCTGATTTGCCAAACTCAAATCTCCGTTCAATCATGTGTCAAGTGTCCATTCAGCTTTCAGCATTAAAGTTATTTTTCTGTCACAGAAGGTGTGAAATAGAAAGCTCAATATTTTTAATGGATTCCTGGATACATTTCACTTTACAATGTTGGAGATATGAATTTTTGTATATAACTATTTTTTTTTTTTTTTTAATTCTTTCAATTATCTTTTTTTAAATATTTGAATAATTTTGACTTTTCTTTTCCGGAGAAGATAAAAGTTTTATCTCTTAGAAAGATGTGGAAAAAATCTAATGTTTTAGTTTTGGTGTGACTATTTATATACTATTGTCTTCTATGTACACTGGTGCTATTACTGTTATATTTTTATATAAGCAGTGGATGCCCTGAAAACAACATATAAAGGTTGAGAAACTTGAAGTGGGGGAAATAAAAAATGTTTTATCTGAACACACTTTTAAAACCCTATGTTGGTGATTCACGGCCAGTAGATGGCAGTAGTGCCAGTAGATGGCAGTAGTGCCAGTAGATGGCAGTAGTCTTAGACTTAGACCCCTTTATTTGTCATTTTGTATGCACAGAGTGCATACAGAACGAAATTGCGTTACATACAGCTTATGAACATTGCATTGATATTTCAAATGAAATGGAATACCTTTCCGGATTGTTACACACGAGTTATACAAAAAGTGCAGCAGTGGTCAAAGTGTAAACAGTGCAGTGAATAAAGACAGTGTGCAAATTGCAATGGTTCAGTGTAGTATAGTCTGCAGTATAAATAATGACAATTTATCAAGATGAAATAAGGAAACTGTGGAAGTTATGGTTTATTTCACTATTTATATTTATTCATATAAAATCACTAAAAATAAGTGTAATAAAAACACATTCATTATTGTAAGAAGACTAATACAGTTATACTGCTGGTAAAAATGGGAGGGGCCTCATTACTGCAGCATCAGGCCATGATCTTTTTTCATCCATATTTAATGTATGTTTTATATTTATACACTCAGATTTAACCAGAGTGCTGGTTATCCATATTTATTTATGTTTCTATTGAACTCTGCACTCAGGTACCCTTTCCCTTTTTATTACACCTCTGCTGAATATGAATGACATTTATTCATCGAGTTTATATCGATAATACAAGATTTACCTCATGAGTTTTAAGCTATGTCACTAAGTAAAACAGACAGTCATATATATATTCCATCATTTCCAGTCCAATAACAGATAACAGTCTGTGTTCCTAAATTCAGCTCCAAGCTGAATGTGTTTGTGGGAACATGAATGTTTTTTAGTGTTTCTGCATCATGTGAGGCAGATTTTTTCCATCTGCTGTCAGATTCAAATCCAGACGATGAAACCATCCAGGGGCTGGAGCTGAGCTGTCAATCAGCAGCAGCAGTCTGATCTGTGGGCTGCAGGGGCTGATGGGAGCTTTGAGGAGCTGTTAGAAACCACGTGGCCCTCGTCTGATCTAGCAGCTCGTCCTTGTTTGGCCTCAGCTGCATCAGAGCACCACTTCTCCCCAGGTTCACCAGAGGAAACACCACTGCACAAAATGCTTTTCCTCCCAGCTGCTGCTCTGTGCTGTCTGTGTTCAGGTGAGTGTTTCCAGCCAATCAGGAGCCAACAAAGTCCACCTGGAACAAACACTGTCCCACTAACCTTCATCTGTGTGTCTGTGTCTCTACAGCGCTGGCTGCCATGGCAACACAGCTGAGTCAGGATTTAACTCTGACCAGGAGAGTCGGTGACAGCGTCTCCCTCAGCTGTGGAGGAACTGATCAGTGTGGTGGTTATTTTGTAACCTGGTACCAGAAGAAAGGAAAAGAAACATTCAGACCAATTCTTTATATCACCAGTGATGGTAGAACACAGAAACCTTTCAATCATCCTCAGCAAAATGATTTCTCAGCTGAGAGAAATCAGAAAAGCTGTACACTGAAGTTAAATCCTGTTAAAGTTAGTCATTCAGCCTCCTACTACTGCAGCTGTTTGAAGTCTGGTTCCCACAGTGAGAAATGATCCCTGCAGCCTGAACAAAAACCTCCAGATGAACAGATGTCAAACAGTGTTTGTGACAAGAAGAGAGCAGTAAACCACAGCCCAGGTTCACTGGTTTCACCTCCATCTCAGAGACTCACTGAGATCAGGGAAATCCTTTATTCCTTAAAAGTGCAGTAGGAGATCTTTTCTGACGCATTTTTTACCATGTGGCTTAAAGATCTACCCACAGCCGCTTAGCAACCAGTGAAATAAAAGGTCTGGAAGTGAAACAAAAAAAATAATAATCTCACTATATGCTCAGTGTTCAAAGACAACTGGGAAGAAAAATGTACTTATTGATTTTTAATGCAGATTGGCAAGCAACCAGTGTCAACACCAACCAGTAAGGGGTTTGGACCAAGACTAACAAGCAAAAAAAAACAAACAAAAAAAGATCCTCCTCAATAACTAGTCCATTCCCATCTGTCCTATAATCAGGGGTGCACATAACATTTTGGATGAGTTACTCAGATGAGTACCAGTCAGAAGATGGTGTTTGTTACTCACCCCATATGTAGCGTGGTAATTAAGCTCAGTCTTCCTCACTGTCCTCCTCAGTGTTGCTCCCACTGTCCTCTGCTTCAGACTCCTGTGTGGTAAATGATGCTGCAGATGTACTTCCATGTCCTTGGTTTAGCCTCCGATTAGCTATCTCCATCCACAGGTCTATAGCTGGTTTTGGGTCAAATGTCTCTGTGGTCTGCCTTGAGGCAGTGTAAGAGATAGCTTAACCACCCTGTTGATGTTGGAGTAAGTAACTGGGTTACTTGTTTTTACAATTTGGACCAAGTCATACACAGATGAGGCCCCGTGTTGGGATCTGGAGGTCTGTCCACCTTCCTCCAGCAGAGGGCGCCTCTAGGTCTCCTGGTGCTGAGCTGACGACCACACCTGCGATCCATCAGTCATCAGGAGACCAACATATAAGCAGCAGCGGGACTACACTCCAGCGCCAGAGTGTTAAGCCAGTTATGGTTAGCAAGGCTGAGCCAACCAGCCTGTCTGATTCTCTGACTCCCTGAACTTTGAACTTGAATCTGATCCGTTTTTGTCTTCTCTGCCTCCTAGGAAGAAACCTGACTGAACCCTGGAAACTCTGGAGGAGTTTCATCTGCTGAAATCCATCCGCCAGCCGGCTCTCAGGAGCTCACCAGCAGAATCTTACTGTCTGAACCTGCCTGCCCGCCCTCAAGAAGAGGATCGGAAGAAAGACTCTGGATCTGAACGCTGTCAAGTCTGAAGTCAAGCCCTGCCGCTGCTTAGCCCTCTGCCAACTTCAAGCATCTGGACCCAACTCGGTTCCCTCCCTCTGTTCTTAATCTCAATCACGTCTCAGGTACAAACCAGCACAATTCCTCTGGCAAAGATCTTCAGCATCCTGGCTAACCAAACTGTCCTTTTCTAGAGAGAACCCTGTGTGACCAGTCCCAAACCTGTTTCTCTGTTTCACTCATAAAACTTGTGTTTATCTTTAATAAACAGTTTAACTTTTCATCTGCCTCCGTTGTGTTCTGCATTTGGGTTAGATCCCCGAACCCAATCATGACAGAACACTCTGGCCAACAACCTAACCCAGCAGTCCACCTCCGGAGGATGATTGAGGAACAAAGAGTTTTAATACAAGGCCACGACTCCACCCTCCGTGAGTTTAACACACGTTTGGACCAGCAAGGTCCGATTTTACAGGATTTAGCTGGCAACTTCAACCAAGCTAACCCCAGAACGGAGCCAGCTCAACTTCCAGTTCCGGAGCCAAACCCGCCTCAAAGGTCAGACCCAGTTCCGTCATTTCCTGAATTCCGTCCGTCACTTCCCGATAAATTTTCGGGCATTACAAGTAAATGCAAAGGATTTCTTTTCCAATGTAGACTGATTTTCAAACATTCTCCTGCCAGTTTCTCTAACGATAAGAGAAAAATTAGCTTTATTCTCTCTCAATTGACTGGAAGGGCTCTAGAATGGGCTAAGGCCCGATTCCCCTCTGAATCCAGTTTCAGATGTACTTTTGAGCAATTTATCAGAGAATTCTCACAAGTCTTTAACCAAGACTCTGATAAATCTATTGATTCTCGAGCTCTGCTAAGTATAAAACAAGGTAATCGATCTGTAGCAGATTTCTCGATCGACTTCCGGGTCAAAGCCGCAGCTTCCGGGTGGAATGAGTGCGCGCTTAAAAGTGCCTATTTTAAGGCTCTAGATGAAGAAATTAAGGATGAACTCGCCACAATCGACGAACCAGCGTCTCTGGAAGAATTAATCAGTCTAACCATTCGTTTGGATAATCGACTTCGAGCCAGAACCAGATCCAAATCAAGAAGCCATGTTTTTTCTGCAGCTTCCCCCAAGACTAACTGCTCTTCTGTTTTTTCTGCCTCTCATGAGACTGATTCTAGACCACGGATTCGTACCCCGTCAGCTCCTGTTCATCCATCTTTAACCCATGGGTTCTCTTCTCCTACAGAAACCTCAGATGCCGAGCCTATGCAGATTGGTCATACCAGACTCACTACAGAGGAAATGCAAAGGAGATATAAGGGGAACCTATGCATGTACTGTGGAGAGCCCGGTCATTTTGTCTCCTCCTGCCCAGCTAAGGTAAAAGCCGGGGTCCGCCAGAGGAAATGAGGAGTCTGGTGGACCATCTGCAATCTGAAAAATCTCCTCACCTATTATTACCTGCTACTGTTTGTTGCTGATCAGACTCTCACGTTATCTATATTAGTTGATTCTGGCTGTGAAAAGAACTTAATTGACTCCAACCTTGTCCAACAACTTAACATTGAAACTATTCCTTTGAAAAAGCCACTTAGAGTCTCTGCCATAGATGGTAAAAGATTACACCAAGTTACCCACCAGACTCAACCTCTTCAACTCCTGATTTCTGGTAATCACAGAGAGTCAACAACCTTTTTTGTTTTTCCATCAGCCTGTTCTTCCCTGGTTCTTGGATATGAGTTGTTAGAGCAACACAACCCTCATATCAATTGGGCTAAAAGACACATTGAATCGTGGTCTGCCTCCTGCCATGTCTCCTGTCTTCGTTCCGCAGCCCCTGTTATTCAGTCTCCTAGTAATCAAGGGGAGCTAGATCCGCCTGATTTGTCCTCAGTGCCATCTGAGTATCACGATCTAGCGCCAGTCTTCAGCAAGGTCAGTGCATTGTCTCTTCCTCCTCACAGACCATATGACTGTGCTATAGATCTATTGCCTGGGGCTCCCCTGCCTAGCAGCCGACTTTTCAATATCTTCAAACCCGAGAGAGAAACTATGGAGAAATACATTAACGAATCCTTTGCTGCTGGAATAATTCGGCCATCTTCATCCCCTCTGGGTGCAGGGTTTTTTTTTGTTGGTAAGAAGGATGGTTCTCTCTGACCCTGCATAGATTACAGAGGCCTCAACCAAATAACAATTAAAAACAAGTATCCCCTGCCTCTGCTTGCATCTGCATTTGAACCTGTTCAAGGGGCTACTGTTTTTACTAAACTGGATCTGAGAAATGCCTACCACCTTCTCCACATAAGAGAGGGAGATGAGTGGAAGACGGCCTTCAAAACCCCTCTAGGTCAATTCGAATACCTAGTTATGCCTTTTGGTCTGACCAATGCTCCTGCCTGTTTTCAAGCCCTGGTTAATGACGTGTTGAGAGACTTTCTCAACATATTTGTTTTTGTCTATATTGACGACATCCTGATCTTTTCCAAGAACCTCTCTGATCACAAGAAACACGTCCCCAATCATGACACCCCCAGGCGTTTTCCTGCCTGCTTTAAGCGCATCCATTCTGTCACAGTGGTGTCTTTATCAAGCTGCAAGGCGGTCTCATATTTCTGGAGAATGCTGCCAACTGTTGTGTTTCCAAAACTGTTCTTTTGTTGATTTTTGGACATCTTCGAAAGTATTTCAAAACAGGTGTTGATAAGCTGACGGTCAAGCAGTACGCAAATGCACGTAGTAATATAATTGACGTTACGCTTTCATGATTTGTGACACGCATGCGTACCTGCTTACCAGTTATGTGCACCCCTGCCTATAATCCCATATTGAGTTGTGAGCATTAGTCACCGTATCACCCTTTCATTTAAATGTAATACTATCTCACCCAATGAATTTACAGATAATTACTTGCAGTGATTATAAAATGCATCATGTTAAACTTACTTTGTCCATAATCCAACAGTGTTTTGCAGACCAGAGAACTCAACTTAACTGAGTCAACATCTCAGTTAATTATAACCATGAAGTGCTTAAAAACAAGTATTAAAATATTAAAATCAATCCGAAAACGGGAGCCAGTGCAAGGAGGAGAGAACGGGAGTGATGTGGCTGTGTCTGGATGAACCAGAGAGGAGATGAGCTGCTGCATTCTGTACTAACTGTAAGCGTTGTAGTGATGACTGTGGGAGGCCGAGTAGAGAGCGTTGCAATAGTCCAGCCGAGAACTTATAAATGTGTGAGTCGTCTTCTCTGGGTCTTGGCGTGAGAGAAAGGGTTTCACCTGGGTCAAAAGGCGCAGCTAGCTTTGACAAGAGCATTTATTTGTTTTTTTGAAGTTCAGTTCACGGTCAAAGACAACTCCCAGGTTCCTGACGGCATTGCTGACTGAACCCCAACCCTGGACTGAATCTGAGGGACATCCTTGGAACCAAATATAATGAAATCTGACTTACTTGGGTGAAAGGGAAATATTGTGGTTTCAGCAGCCAGAGATGTGGCTTTAATAAAAAAGTAGTTTTATTGAGAATACAAATATAAGATAACATTAAATACCTAGATCTAAGAGTGGGAAATTATACTAGCTGTAGAGTACAGAGTAATTTTAATATCATTCACAAACTGTGAAATCCTCACAATAATAAAGAGCTAAAAAGAACCTAAAAGTTGCGGAAAAATGTGACCAAAAATACACACTCAGATATGAAAAAATATAATAATATAAACTCCAGCTGAATAGAAAAAATCTTTATCTTTACAGTTGTCATTGTCACAAAGAACAACGAAAAAAAAAAAAAAAGTGCCATCGATCGATCAGTGCATATGCTTAAAAACAAAAACTAAAAATCACTGTCACCACCATTTACACATAATATAAGAAATAAATAACAATAGCTGATAAAAACACTAATAAGAATAGTACATTCTCACACACATCATCCATGATGATTAATGGTTATTTAAAAAAATATGTGAATGAGGGAAAAAAATATGTTCTCTATTGTTTATGTTATTATTTACAGCCTAAATGTACATCTCCAAAATTCTCTTCTTCTTCTGTGGTGCTCTCTTTTCTCTGGCTTTGATTGCGGCGTGTGATCATAAGACCAATTTAGTTCTCAGCTCTCCTTTACTCTCCTTCCAGAGCTGTGTGAACTGCAGTACTGCTCCTCTGTCTTATCCATTGAAACCTACTAACAGTCACCTAATCTTAATCCCTGTGAAGGTAAAACTATTTGGTGGGGATTTTGGGCTAAATTAGGAGCTCTGAGAGACTGTGGATCACAGGGATTACAGTCTCTGATTTGCCAAACTCAAATCTCCGTTCAATCATGTGTCCAGTGTCCATTCAGCTTTCAGCATTAAAGTTATTTTTCTGTCACAGAAGGTGTGAAATAGAAAGCTCAATATTTTTAATGGATTCCTGGATACATTTCACTTTACAATGTTGGAGATATGAATTTTTTTTTTTTAATTCTTTCAATTATCTTTTTTTAAATATTTGAATAATTTTGACTTTTCTTTTCCGGAGAAGATAAAAGTTTTATCTCTTAGAAAGATGTGGAAAAAATCTAATGTTTTAGTTTTGGTGTGACTATTTATATACTATTGTCTTCTATGTACACTGGTGCTATTACTGTTATATTTTTATATAAGCAGTGGATGCCCTGAAAACAACCAATAAAGGTTGAGAAACTTGAAGTGGGGGAAATAAAAAATGTTTTATCTGAACACACTTTTAAAACCCTATGTTGGTGATTCACGGCCAGTAGATGGCAGTAGTCTGTAGTATAAATAATGACAATTTATCAAGATGAAATAAGGAAACGGTGGAAGTTATGGTTTTATTTCCCTATTTAAATTTATTCATATAAAAACACAAAAAATAAGTGTAATACAGACACATTCATTATTGTAAGAAGACAAATACAGTTATACTGCTGGTAAAAATGGGAGGGGCCTCATGACTGCAGCATCAGGCCATGATTTTTTTTCATCCATATTTAATGTATGTTTAATATTTATACACTCAGATTTAACCAGAGTGCTGGTTATCCATATTTATTTATGTTTCTATTGAACTCTGCACTCAGGTACCCTTTCCCTTTTTATTACACCTCTGCTGAATATGAATGACATTTATTCATCGAGTTTATATTGATAATACAAGATTTACCTCATGAGTTTTAAGCTATGTCACTAAGTAAAACAGTCATATATATATATATATATATATATATATATATATATATATATATATATATATATATATATATATATTTTTTTTTTTTTTTTTTTTTTTTTTTTTGCATTAACTATAAATCAGACGCAACACAATGGCAATAAATTCAGGTTGTAATTCAAAAGCTGCATTTTTCCATCATTTCTGTTTCTACATCTTGTCATTTTTTCAGCAGCAGCAGTCTGATCTGTGGGCTGCAGGGGCTGATGGGAGCTTTGAGGAGCTGTTAGAAACCACGTGGCCCTCGTCTGATCTAGCAGCTCGTCCTTGTTTGGCCTCAGCTGCATCAGAGCGCCACTTCTCCCCAGGTTCACCAGAGGAAACACCACTGCACAAAATGCTTTTCCTCCCAGCTGCTGCTCTGTGCTGGCTGTGTTCAGGTGAGTGTTTCCAGCCAATCAGGAGCCAACAAAGTCCACCTGGAACAAACACTGTCCCACTAACCTTCATCTGTCTGTCTGTGCCTCTACAGCGCTGGCTGCCATGGCAACACAGCTGAGTCAGGAGGATTTAACTCTGACCAGGAGAGTCGGTGAGAGCGTGTCCTTCAGCTGTGGAGGAACTGATCAGTGTCGTAGTGGTTGGCCTGTAACCTGGTACGAGAAGAAAAAAACAGAAACATTCAAAGCAATTCTTAATATCAAAAGTGATGGTAGCACAGAGAAACCTTTCAATCATCCTCTAGAAAAAGATTTCACAGCTGAGAGAAACAAGAACATCTGTAAACTGAAGATCGATACAGTTAAAATCGATCATATAGCCTCCTACTACTGCGGCTGTTGGAAGTCTGGTTCCCACAGTGAGAAATGATCCCTGCAGCCTGAACAAAAACCTCCAGATGAACAAACAGTGTTTATGATGAGAAGAGAGCAATAAACCACAACCCAGGTTCACTGGTTTCATCTCCATCTCAGAGACTCACAGAGATCAGGGAAATCCTTTATTCCTTATTGATTCACTTTAACCAATCTAATCTAAAAAAATAATTTCTACTTAAAGTTTTAAAAATATCACACAATCAGCCTATTCATAAGTGAATTTGTTCATCCTTCTCAATTCAAATTGAGAAAGCTTCCTGGAGAGGTGGCGAAATGTCTTCAAATCTTGGAAACCATGTCCAGTGGATATTTTTTGAATTTTTACGGAAATCTGCCTTACTTGAATTGTGTGTTCTCTTGTCTTTGCCATGCTGGCTAATTGGTAAGATAATTAGGCCTCTGCGTCATTTCATATTTATACCCCAGGAAAACAGGAAGTCATGAATTACTAATTAAAAGTTCCTAGATACCCTGACCAACTTTAGCAACTACAGAAAAATTAATTTAAAGGAAATTAATTACATTTTTAGCAGAATTGTTAGGGGTGCCAATAACTGTGGGACACATGATTTCATGTTTTTTATTTTCTAAATGTGTGATTTTATGTTTACCACCAAAGTAATGTACTTAACTAAAAGGTTGGATTTTCTCTTTTTTGCATTTAGGTTCTTTGTTGTTTAAAAGAAAAGAAGGATTTTTTGAAGTCCTCGACCACATATTAAACAGGGGTGTTAGAAGAAATCAACACATGGATGTTCCAAAATTTTCTTCAGCTCAGTCAAAACAAAATATGAGTGTTTTGTTTTGTAACAGCATTCAAAAGTCAGCACTCAGCCTAAGTTAATCTAGGTATAAACCAGCAATCACACTCTAAATCTGAATGTGGTGATGCACTCTGACCTGAACCTTCAGACGCTCACAAAGACAGTAAAAAAGTCAGCCTTCAATTACCTAGAGTACATCTCCATGAAGAACTGATTAATGCATTTATCTTTATTAGAACTGCTGCTCTTACCAAGGCTAAGAAACTGAAGCACATCACAGTGTTAAAATTGCTAAACTGGCTCTCCATCTCTCTGAGAATAAATCTCTGAGTGGCATTAAAGACTTCCTGTCAGTGTATCAACGTCCCAGACTTCACTGGAAAATGGACGAAAAAAGGATAAGCAGTGTTTAGATGCTATGCTTTATTAGTCTGGAGTGAACTACCAGAAAACTTTTTTTTCCCCACTGCCACATAAACGCGCTATATGGACAAATTTGTCCTGCAATTTATTTTGCTCGGTGAAGTCTTGTGACTTGGTAGCAACCTAGGGTAAATGAATAGGCCCCCAGAAACATAGGAATACATTTAGGAGCCAAGTTGTCACAGATTCACATTTTTTTATGTGGACCAATGTGGGTATTACATGATATTGGGTGAGACTGTGCCACTTTTGAAAATTTTAATTTAATAAAATCAAGATGTTGAAACCATCCAGCAGCTGGAGCTGAGCTGTCAATCAGCAGCAGCAGTCTGATCTGTGGGCTGCAGGGGCTGATGGGAGCTTTGAGGAGCTGTTAGAAACCACGTGGCCCTCGTCTGATCTAGCAGCTCGTCCTTGTTTGGCCTCAGCTGCATCAGAGCGCCACTTCTCCCCAGGTTCACCAGAGGAAACACCACTGCACAAAATGCTTTTCCTCCCAGCTGCTGCTCTGTGCTGTCTGTGTTCAGGTGAGTGTTTCCAGCCAATCAGGAGCCAACAAAGTCCACCTGGAACAAACACTGTCCCACTAACCTTCATCTGTCTGTCTGTGTCTCTACAGCGCTGGCTGCCATGGCAACACAGCTGAGTCAGAAGGATTTAACTCTGACCAGACAACGTGGCCAGAGTGATTCCTCCACATTTTTCATTTGTGAAGGAGTTGATCAATGTGGTAGTAATGCTGTAACCTGGTACCAGAAGAAAGATACCGAAACATATACAGCAATTCTTTATATCACTAGTAGTGGTAGCACACAAAAACCTTTCAATCATCCTCTAGAAAAAGATTTCTCAGCTGAGAGAAACAAGAACGTCTGTAAACTGAAGATCGATAAAGTAAAATTCGATCATAAAGCCTCCTACTACTGCGGCTGTTGGAAGTCTGGTTCCCACAGTGAGAAATGATCCCTGCAGCCTGAACAAAAACCTCCAGATGAACAGATGTCAAACAGTGTTTGTGACGAGAAGAGAGCAGTAAACCACAGCCCAGGTTCACTGGTTTCACCTCCATCTCAGAGACTCACTGATTTTAGGGAGGTTTCTTGTTTCTATGATTATTTACAGGCAGAGGTGTCAAAGTTACTCACCTTCTTCATTTAAGTAAAGAATATATACATCAATATAAAATGTTAATTTTATATTGACAATGTACTTTAGTACAAAAGTAAAACAAAGTTTTTGGCCTGAATGATACAAAGTAGGTTTTAACATCTATTCATAAAAAACAGGTCTATGCCATAAAATCTTTTTATGTATTTTTATGTTGGTAAAAAGATACAGATTACTGTGCCTCTGTAGTTTTGTTCTAAATTAAATTTCAGACAGGATAATAAAGATTAATACTTTTAGAGATCTGGTACTGCAAGTAACATGAATATTAAAGGAACAGTACACCCAAAACATGATTAGCCTTCATTTTCTACTCACCCCCATGCTGAACAACACTCTGGAGTACTTTTTTGATATCTCAAATGCATCTGGAGATCTGGGAGGCTTCTTGCTGTCTGCTAACATTCAAATAATGGAGGTCTACGGTGCCCGAGACAGAAAGGTCCATAAAAGTCCACAAAAACGTGTCAATATTCCTCCATACTGCTCGTCCAATGTATTCCAAGTGTCCTGAGTGGGTAGCATCCAGAATTTACTCGAAACGAAGTCATTTAGAATGTTTTTAGAGCATAAACAGTAGTGTATAGGATTTCCTGAAAGCGCGCGCCAGCGCGTTCATGACGCTACGGAAGCCGGCAGACCAAACCAGATGAAAGTGCGCATTCGCGTCTGCTCTGCTGATAATGCAAGCGTAGCAGAAGAAATGTGCTGTTTACCTGTGCAAAGAAAGAAACAACGAAAGAAAAATGTCTGAGGACTTCAGTGTTGAGGAAGAGCATGAGTTCTTTGCCGAGCTGAATGCGCACTTTCATTTGGTTTGGTCTGCCGGCTTCTGTAGGCTCGTGAACGCGCATGAACGCGCTTTCAGGAAATCCTATACACTACTGTTTATGCTCTAAAAACATTCTAAATGACTTAGTTTCGAGTAAATTCTGGATGCTACCAACTCAGGACACTTGGAATACATTGGACGAGCAGTATGGAGGAATATTGACACGTTTTTGTGGACTTTTATGGACATTTCTGTCTCGGGCACAATAGACCTCCATTATTTGAATGTCAGCAGACAGCAAGAAGCCTCCCAGATCTCCAGATGCATTTGAGATATCAAAAAAGTACTCCAGAGTGTTGTTCAGCATGGGGGTGAGTAGAAAATGAAGGCTAATCATGTTTTGGGTGTACTATTCCTTTAACAAACTTGCAACACAATCAACATGGAGATTAAAATCTAATAAATTTCACATGGATGGGAATAATGTGCATGTCATGATCTGATTTCTCTTTTACAATGAAAGTTGCCATTAGTGTGAAATTATAGCTCACGTGTACATATGTCAACACACACAGCAGTGGCGGCCGGCCCATAGGGAGCGCTGGGGTACCGCCCTCCCTGCTGGCGTATTGAGTGTGCACACTTAATATTTCAGTGGGGTTAGCCGTGTGTGTGTGTGTACGTGTTTATGCGACTGGGACTTGTCATCTTCAGTCTTTGCTGGGTTCAAACCCAGTTTGGTGTAATTGAATTAGTCAATGAATCTGTGTAAAGGAATTAAGTTGTAAAAATTATTTGTTTTTGTATATCAATTGTTTGTGGAGGTAATATATGGACAAAACTGATTTAGTTTTGAGGTGAGGGGCTTAAACCATTTAATGAGGGCTGTGGGAAGAATAGCGGCCAGTTCTGTTTTCTGTTTCTTTGTTACATTGCTGGTAATTGGAGGGAGGCTGAGGCCCAGAGTATCTTGTACATGTTTAGTTTCTTTTGCACCCTGTTTTGAGTTTTTGAGCACAATAAATCACCAACACCGGTAACCCGACTGAGCCTGGATTCTTGGAGGCCAAAGAACCCCGTAACAGTGACCAAAATCATCACTGTTACTGTTATTATATAGTAAATTAAATCATTACTGTTAAATTGTATTTATTGTCCAATTGTTTATTTGAATTCTTATTCCGGATTAGTTGGAGACATACACTAGGCTATATCAGCCCCACCAAAAATATTTTTCACCAGCTGCCACTGACACACAGTATCTTTTTACATATTAATTTACAATGATCCGACCAAAGTCTTATGGATCAGGTAACAACTTTTTATACAGACCCCATGGACATTTGCTAAAGCCCAGCAACTGAATGACATTAGACTAAATCAATTGTCTGAAAATGAAAAGTCTGCTGGCCTTGTGCTCATGGTGCTGTGTAGATGCTGCATTGAGGTCAGTGCTAATGCCCCAATATTTCTATTAGGAACACATTCACCGCACATCTAGCTATCTAAAGTTCAATTCATTTATAAAATAATCTAGGATGTTGCAAAAAACAATGAAATAAATGCATAAATAATTAAAGAAATGCTAATACTAGTCATCTTGAAGTCTGTTCCCACTAGCATTATAATTTCAAATAGTTAATTCGGATTGTAGTATAAAGGAATCCTGACTTGATTCAAGCAACATGGTACTACATTTTTAAGACACATATATGGATCACAACAGGTTCACAGTTGAGTAATGAAAATGCTTTAGATTGATAGGGATCAAGGCTATACATGTCATGAAATGAGGACAGATGGACCCAATATTCAAGGAGAGACAGTCAGTAGGAAAGTTCAAAAA